AGTGGGATTCGAACCCACGCCACTTGCGTGACTGCAATGCTCCTCAAACTGCGGAGGTCTGAAGAAGGAATAGAAGGGTCCTTGAGTGCAGCGCCTTAGACCACTCGGCCATCTTGCCTTTCTTGGTAAGTGGGCCAGCAGATACGCTTATCAATCTATGCATCAACAAGAAGGAGAAAGCTGCGAGGGCTGGGTCCATGTCTTTCCCACGCGATACTAACTAATTATACCGTAGACTCTGTCGTTGTTGTTTTGGTTGATGCTATATGTAGTTGTTTCGAGATATCAAGGTTGTACCTAGGGTTTTTAATTGGGGGGAAGTGGGAAGTAACTGGGGAGTAGGAAGCATTCGAGTCATGGTTTTGAGGGCTAGTGTATAATATCAGGGTGACCTGGGAGGATGGGTTCCGGAGTGGACAAATGGTAGATCGGTCGGTAGGTAGCTGTAAGAGCCGAGTTCTCTCCTGCTGGTCAAGACAGAAATATCCCGGTCTGATACGTTGTTACGATGATTGTAGATGTGGTGCAATTGACTGCGACAGTCATGGCCGTTCCGACGATTTTAAGCTGTGATATAACATTCAACTTTGAGATGCTATTTTACAAATGTTCAGGTACCAAATCAACGCATTCAGCTCAACAAGGATGGCTTGGATTAACATCATGAGGTGTCTTTTGATATTGCCTTTCGCGTGGGCTGATTCAGATCTTTCCAATGCAATCCAAGAATCACATAACACTCAGGCCATGCAGTATTCCTATCGGTTGACATAGATTCCTACCCAAGATGTTTTGGTTTCCTTCAGCATTCGGACACAAGCATGTCGCGGTCGATTCTACTCCACCCGTGCACTACAGGTCTCACTTGAACTCTTTGATTGGATCAAGCGTCCGTGTATCGACCGGGTGACTCGGCGGCGCAGCACGTCTCGTCCCCTTTGAAGGCTGCGACTTGCGGTCTTTGGGTGACTTGCCCTTATTTGGTGGAGCGGAGGCGGCCGGTCTGGTCAGCACTTTCTCCCCGCCGTACCGCAAGCAGCCTCGGATCACCTGCATCGGAAGATTGATGGCCCTCCTGAAAATCTGTCCAGGAAGGGTGATGACCGTATAAGTCCATCCCATAATCATGTTGATCAGGCCCTGGGGCTTGGTACGATGCGCGGCAGCTGCCAGTGAGAACGTGTCGTGTACGCGAGCCTCCAGAGCCTGAAATCGCGTTTCCGTCTGATACGTGGAGAGGGTAGTGCGTTTCTCGTAGCGTCGGACGGCGCGGTTCAAGGCGTCAATGTCCCATTGAATGCTCTTGCGCATATCGGCGGTAGCCTGGGATACAAGAGTCTGGATGGCATCGTTCTGCGAAGGTTGTCCAGCTTGATTCGAAGAGCCTGGCGCAAGTCGTGCGGCGGCCGCCTCAGCAATATGGGCTTCGAGCTCTTCTAGACGTTTCGTCAGGTCGAGCACTCTGTGAGCGTCGACTTTGTCGATCTCGTCTTCGGTGGACAATGCGACGATACGTTGGAGATGGAGCGTGCGTGCTTGGACCATCTTCAAGAGATGCGAGAAAGGCCGTATCTCGGAGGCCAGGAGGAAGATGGTCAAATTATAATTGGAGACTAAACCTTCCGACGGGCGCGAGAGCTTCGACCGGATAGTGTGCAAGAGCCATGTTCCGATCAACGGGAAGATGAAACACGAGGCCAGAGCGGCAAGCTCGTGAATCTGTAGCTCTCTGGTGGCTGCGGCAGCATTGCTAGAGTGGGGCTGTTCATGAACACGCGGCGACTGAGCATTATCATCTAGGTCGGCGCCTGTAGGCTTATCATTTGGCTCTGGGCTTAATGGAAACTCAGTGGTTTCGAATTGTTTTCCCGATTGCCGCACAGCCTGTGCGGAACGGTACCAATCCCTGTTCGAATTAAAATGAATCCAAAAATAAGTAGTGGGAGGATGCGTAATTACCACGGTAATCGGACCGACCAATTCAGAAAGATGGCGGCGAGAACAAGAAGGGTGATGTCGGTGACGACGGCACTGCCGTTCTGGAAAAAAATCCCGGCAATAGCAGGCAGTAAAGCCAGACCCAAGGGAGCTGAGTGCCAATGTGATTCTTCATTTGTCAGGTCCACGTCACCACCCTTGGCTACACGTGGAAAAAGTATATCGTCCGTGGAGGATCGAATTGAATGTCGAGCCTCTGAAACCGAGTCGGAAAAGGTGGAATTGCGCCGCTGAGTCTGCAGGTTCGAGGTCGTGCCCTCTGCAAATGTCGCAGATCGGGCTGGCCCGCGATGGCGAAGGTTAGTGGAATCTGGGGAGAGAACGCGGGGGCTGTTGTGACTGTGGTCTCGTGTGGGGAGTGACCGCGATGGGCCAGGCTGGTCGGACATGGTACGATTGAAGAAAGCAAGAAAATGGATTTCTAAGGGTTTCAGGTAGAGAACAAAGAGAAGATCAGGAAGGAAAAAGAGAAGGAGTGGAAGGGAGGGATTTCCGGGGCGAGGGAGAAGGAGAAATAGAGGGAGAGTCAGGCAGATCTAGCATCTTGCTTGTACGACGCTAAAGCAGCCATGGCTCGAACCCCGAATCGATCATCGATCACTGCCTGCCCGGGGGCGGGCACTAGTCGCTTTAGGCTTAACTCTTAGTTACTTAGCCATGACGACAAGGGTCCACCTTGGCTTGGAGACAATACAAACCAATAAGAGTATTTGACTGAATTGGATCATGATAACATGCGTCCCCAACAGAAAGTAAAATAATCAGTGGTATCATTCAAGATGATCAATGGAGGCAGACGTGACAAGTGGAGGAAAGGAACCATCACCTTAGATGGAGGCCCCGCATTCCACAGCCAAACGGAATATCCTTGCATGGAAGTCATGCCATAAGACTAAGAGTCGGCTTGTTTCCGAGTATCAGTGAACTTATTGGACAAAGGCTGAGAAATCGAAGAGAACCTGCAGACTTTCAACCGCCTCTCAACGGATTGTTATCGGGTCTGGAACATTCTTAATATATCAGAGGACTGCAGCGGAGAGCAACATAGCAGTAGGGGGCTGCATGAACACACCGACCATAATGGTAGCATTATCCAATGAAGGACAGAATAGTCTAATAAACAACGCGAAGACAAGCCAACTCAGTAATCTCAGAATAGAGCGACGCCACCAGATTGACCGGATGGAGTCGGAGAGAAATACGTGCAACTGGCGAGGAGGCATATTATCTTAGTGGCTGTTCTTGTATGGTACGTGTATACCATTTGGCCACTGTACCACCATGATAGAAGGACATCGAAGGAGGGTTGGGCATAAGAATCACAAGCACACGTTGAGCAATTGGCCCATCGAATCAAAGGAACTCAATGGCGGAAAGGTCGAAATTGGATTGGGCGTATTGAGCTCTATTGATGTAAGCTTGATTTAAGCTCCTGCAGGGGTGACAAAGTACTTTATTGAATCTTTGGAGTATAAACTCTTTTGGGCTGGTCTGTGACTGATAGCTTCGGCATGGTTGACAAGATCACAAGCAAGTATTCTTTGTGCAGGACACGGCTGGTGGCTTGGTACCTTGGGGAGTTCCAAGCTCAATCCCACTGGCTGATATCTCCCTGATCCAGAAATAGCTGTTCTCAGCCGCTTTCTATGAAAAGAGTCATCGAGTCCGTGAGAATGAATCTTTTGAGACAAATAGCCAAAACACCGGAGGAGGAACGAAGGGAAATGATGCGTGATGGAGCGAAGACGATGTGAGTCTTTTGACACCCGAATTAGGAAAGGTCGGGTTGAGTTGCTGCTCCTCTTCCTCTTCCTCCTCCACCTCCTCAACATCCCTATTCTGCCAATGCAATTGTGTTCTCAGGCCTCTTCTTTTCAAAATTGCAAGCATTGATAAGTGAATTGACTCCTACTTCTGAGACTCTGCGAGATGGCTTTGGCTCAATACGCTGGGCTGATTGGGCGCAGCGGCGTCTATAGCACGGTCACAACACTGACCGGCTCATTTTGCATAGCTCTGATTCTGTACCCCCTCGGCAATTGACAAGTAGGTGTCTCAAATAGACCCTCAGTGAGAGGCCTAAAGTCCTCTTACCTGTCTATTCCAGGTTTCATCAATAAGACATGGCTGTTTCCCCTTATTGAGGAGATTGACGCCGCTGGGATCTTTTAATGATGCCGCTGCCCCGAGCAAGATGACCATAAGTTATCCTTCCTCAATCCCACAGAAACCCATGACAGCCCTTCTTCAAGAGTTTCTACATTCAGATTGAGCCAGCAAGCAGCTGAGAAGCCTCAAGAACGCGGTGCCTAGTCTTGAAATCTCATCCTACACGATCACTATCACTCTTTCGCAAAATGAATGCCCAAGACGCTCCGCTTTATCCGCTTCATTTGCAAGCAGTACTTCTTCCGGTCCTCTCTTTCCTTTCGTTACTGCTGAGTGTAGTGCCACTGGTGCTGCACTGGAAGAACCGCAACGTGGCTTCCAGTAGCCTGATCTGCTGGTACATGATCTTGAACGTCTTCAACATTGTCAACGCCATTCTCTGGCCCACAGACGATGTGGGTTCTTGGTGGGATGGCAAAATCCTCTGCGACTTTGAAGGGAAGATCATGATTGCAAGTTATATTGCTGTTCCCGGAACCCTTGTTTGCATTTTCCGCAGTTTGGCCTGCGTGCTGGACACCAGGCGTGCGGCGCTGGTCCCTACCAGGTCGCAACGGTGGTGGAATCGGGGAATGACGCTTCTGTTTTGCTTCATAGCTCCTGCAATTGCCATGATCACGCAAATCATTTACCAGGGAAGTCGGTACTTCGTTTTCGCGATTGCTGGCTGCGTCAATAGTTACGATGAAAGCTGGGTGACCCTAACCCTGGCCTACATCTGGCCATTGATCATTTGCCTTATCGCGGGCTACTACTGCGGTAGGTCAATTCAAAGTCTTGTGTGCAATTTCAGGTCTGACATTACCAGTGATTGTCCTCTGCCGTCTCAGCAAGTACCGAAATCAGTTCGGCGACATCCTTCAGTCCTCGAACAGCAACATGAACAAATCCCGGTTCGTGCGGCTCTTCTTGCTCGCCTTTCTTATGCTACTGTGCATAATCCCTGTTCAGACCTTTGTCGTCTCTACCAACATCATACGTACTCTACCATGGCATGCGTACTCTTGGGATTATGTCCATCCTCCGACCTGGAACACGATCGTCAAAGTACCTACAATGGGCGAAGCATTCTGGGACCGCTGGATCCCAGCCGCATCAGGCTTCATGTTCTTCGTCTTCTTTGGCAGTGGTCGCGATGCCACGAAGATGTACCGTGCGATCCTGGTCTTCGTGGGTCTGCACTATTGCTTCCCCTGCCTTCGGACCTCGTCGGCTACCACCTCGACCACCTCGACCGGCTCAACCAGTAGTCGAGCCAAGCTGCTCTTCCATTGGAAACGGACATCTGCAATACGGTAAGCCTTCACTTCTTTCTCAAGCTCGTCCTCAGCTGAGCCACACACTAACCCTAATAGAACATATGTCAACAGCAGCACCAATCTCCAACCTACTACTCGACACACCCCCGACATCGAGAAAGCTTTCCCCCTTCCGAACAAGCAACCCCCGCGCGGCCCGTGGTACAAGCGTGTGTGGCAGCGCAACGGGACCGCCAGCCGGGGGAAGATGCTCCCGCTTCATCAGTTGGCCGAGACAACTCCCAACACCGTCTCAACCAATGCGTGGGCGGGCGTAAGCCAAGGCCGGAACAGTAACGACCTATGCAGCCCACCGCTCAAGGACGACCACATCCGGATCAAGCAGGTCATCACCCAGCAGAGCGAGATGTATGCTTAGGATGCTGTACCATCGACTGGAGGCGGAAGAGGAAGACAGGAGGGATCTTGTATTGCAAAGCGAGTGCGGTCGTGGGGCTTATCTTCTTATTTCTTTCCTTGATAGTAGTCCGAGCCTTACTTCGTTGAAGGCATTCCATCCCATCTTCCTGATTTGTAATTCATTGGGGAACACCAGTTGACTCTGCCTGATAAGATGTTATGTGGAATCCTGAGGTATCTTTTGTAGCTTCTACGTCCTGCTTGGTCAGTTGGCCACGCAGTCTTCTCTGATCTGGTAGACTGATTTCTCGATACTTGATTCCTCGCACAGATACAGTTTGATTAAGCAAGGCTGGGGTGCACACTCCATTAGAGGAGGAAGTTCCGGGTGGAATCGGGTGTACTGTCCGGCGATGCTGCATGGCCAGCTCACCGAGGGTTGACGCACCGCTACACGCACAAGAGAGTTCACCATGCAAGCCAGCCGAGCATCTTGCAACCACGGGCACTGTCCATGAAAAATGACTGACGACGCTAGCCATGATAATCCAGGATCTACGGTGCATATCTACAGCAAAGCCGATGCAGTCAATGCGCCCGATCCATCACATGCTGCATGCTGGACCAGATATTGATAGAAACAAAACAAGCGGCGCAAGACAGACACGTTAGTTGCGTTAATTTAAAACATAACACGCTTTGGCTAGGTACAAAGGGCATTGGCAGCAACGTGGAACCAGAACCAGAACTGAGCGACATACGGTCTGTGCCAACGACCGGGTATAACAGGCAAAAGAAAGAGGGGAGTTGCTACGAGCAGCAAGCAGTGCGCTCATGCCTATCTATCGCGATATTGACTCAAGCAAGAGATAATTTCCCAAGAAAGACAAAGAAAAGTTAACTCTGCTCCGGTTTTGGGAAGCGGTATCTCTCTTGGATGAAAAGAGGAGCCATCCCTCCCCTTCAATTCGTAATGCGGTGGGAAGAATACGTCCCCAGCAAGGGTATGTATACTATCGATGAACGCGCCTGTGCTTGCGGGAGGTTTTTGCTTGAAAAACTGTGGCTTAGTTGGTACCGTCGCTTTCGCTGTTCTCAGCGGGGATGTAAGGGCGTCTCAAGACCTCCAGAGTGCCTGGTTCGGTATAAATTGTTAGTGTTTCGTGAAGAGATGAATCAGAATATTGGGACTGGACGAGGTTCTGGGCTGGGCGCTCACGCTGAAGGATGTTGAGGGTCTGTCTCTTGTTGCCGTTGCTGTCCTCGTGTTGGCGCATGTAGGCATCTCCTTCGACGAAAACGAGGGTTCTATAGGAGAGCAGACGGGGTCAGTTGTACGTCCTCTGAAACCGCAATTTCCCTGGATGGCGAACACTCACCCCTTTGGCAGGCTGAGGATGAAATCCTTCTGGTTGCCCTCGGGGAAGGCCCCAATGTTGAAAAAGCTCGCGGGCTTGTCAGCCTTGTAGGTATGCGAAGCAACAGAGTACTTGACGATTTCCTGGCCAGAGGCGGTGACGTGCAACTCGGGCTCGGCCGTAAGACGACCGGTAATCATCATCTTCGCGGCGGAACGCGACGAGGAGGAGCTGAAGGAACGCGCAGCCTGTGCAGCACCGGAAGTGGCGCGGAGTGCAGGACGCAGCGAGGACAGGAAAGCGGACATGATGTGGGCGTGGGGGGTGGATGTGTTTGTGTGTGTGTGTGTGTGAGGGCGGATCGGGAGGGTCAAGGGAATGGTAAGTTCAAAAGATTGGCTCTAGGCTGAATATCGTATGAGGATGCGTTTGTCGCTGGGGGAAAGAGACATCCAGGCTTGGCAGTCTTGCTCGCTTTCTCCGCACCGCGCCGCGTTTGTGGCTACGACACGTGACACCGCACATACTCCTAGTAACTATGCCTCCCATCCATCTTCCTCCTCCTCATCAGCATCATAATCGCTATCTTTTGTTGCCACACCGGCGATACCGGCCAGACTCAGCCCCATTTCCGCTTTTTATCATAGATGTGGTCGTGCATGCATATATCATTCATTGACTTTGAGAATCGCACCAAAGCGTGGAGAGTCTCTGCCGTCCCAGGTTGACGGTCATCAAATAGTCAACTTCCTGTGCAGGGCCCGCTTGTGAGACGTCAGATCTCAAAGCTATCTGAGGAAACAGCAAGGCGTACACCCAGCCCTCGCTTAGTAGAGGGAGGCGTTCTCTACAGGACTAGCCGGTCACTTAGCCTTCTCACTGCACCTATCGTGCATAGTTCTATTGATGCCTGCTTGACCGAAAATTGATGCCCAGCGTTTCCGCGAAAACTTCCGTCTAATGCTTGCGACGCCGCTGCGGCTTAGGACGAGGAGCCTATGTTCATCATGCCTACCGTACTGCGCATCTCAGGATGCACCTCGGCATGACCATCGGGTCGAACCCGTCTCTCCACCCATCCACCTGTCCAGGGTGACTCTGTAACCCTATGTATGGCCCAAAGGGTACGATAGTTACGGAAAGCCCCTGGGAGTCAAACCAAACGTCGGATATTAGCCACAAACCCATGCACCACTGGGTGCGACCTGAATTTGACTCTCCAGTCCCAATGAGCATCGCCGCTGTGGGAGCTCAAGGCCGATGGGCCCAGCGCTTGACGAAGGAAATTAGATATGTCGCTTCTTGCAGCCGATCACACGGACAGCCTAACCGCTAGCGGTTAGAAGAGTCGTTCTTGTCTATCACTGACGGAGGAAATCTGACCAGCATCCATCCATCCCCAGATCCATTCTTTCTTCCGTACGACATGGGAGTCTAGCGCTCATTTTCAAAATTTTAATTTAGACTGGAGAGGGCCACAAGTGACGAGGGCGACGCTAGGTATTCTTCTCGCGCAACATGTCATAATCCTCCAGGCAGAGCCAATTGTTGGCTGGCCCGCTTCTCTCGTATATCGCATGCCACGGCGTTCATGATGGCAAGCCTCAACCAGAGCTTTTTCTGGACAAAGACATCACTGGCCCTATTAAACTACAGCGTGAATTTATCCTGATGACTCCAAACATGCACACTGGCGATCTCTGAGTATGCCTCGGTCCGTTTTCCCTTGGTATCGTTTGTCAAGCAGATGGCCTGCTTTTCATCATGCCTGGCACGATCTACTCCCGGAAAGATTTCGCATGATGAACACCAGGGGCGGATCCTTGCCAGAAATTTTCAATTATCATGTACTACCATGCGACTACTTTGCTTTTTGCCCTTTCATCTCCAATAAGTGGGCCATCTCGCAGCTGCCGTGCATCAAGTCTATTTTTCTCTGGGCCCTTGACAGAGGCGTGCTCGACTATCCTACCAGGGTTGAGCTCGAATCAAAGACAGTTTCTCTTCAGGTCCATGTAGATCTGCTAGGTCCAAGCCTTCGCGTTTACTGCGTCCCCACCCGTCCCTTCCCATAGGTACATATACTTGATAGTGTCAATGAAAACCATACGTTCGCGCCCACCTTGTCTCAGAATCTACAGCCACGTTTCTCAGACCTACTTGCGTGTCTCCAGTTATTTGTGACAGGCGATCACGCTGTCCTTCATGCTGTCGGTCGCCCACATGACAGTTATGTGAATAGCAACCGCCAGGCAGCTCGATCGCAACTCCCGCATGTTGGCTGGAATTGTCCCAGACGGCCACGAATCGCTTTGAACCAGATAATTCGCCCATTGGGTCATTCGCTGAATACGGAAGCAGATTCTAAATCCATCTATCCTTCCAAGCTACTCACCATGCGCTTCTTCTTCTTGCTAACGCTGGCCGTTTACTTTGTGCCAACTCTATCCTTCGTTGTCTCAGCACAAACCTCGCATGCCCCACGCGAGGCCCTCAATGGTCTCATCACTGCCCGAGATGATACTCCTCCGAGTAGCCTGACGCAAGCTACGGATGGCAGCACGACAACAGGCGCGATCAGCCATGCGACAGAAGCCGCGAGTAATGCGACTAGGACCACAAACGCCACCATTCCAGCCTCCACAACTCTGGCCGCATCGAATACATCCGTGACAAGCAATGGTGAGGCCTGACCTCGACAATGCGGGCGCAGTCTTTGACTTCATCGGCTATAGCGCATTGTTATTCCTATGCTGATTGGCTATGTGAAACAGAGAGCAAGGCACCCACGGATCCGAATGATCTTCCATTGCAACCCAAAGTCACTCCAGCTCTGGGGATTGCTGGCTTCATTCTGCTTGCAGCCGGAGCTGTGCTCGCATTGATTGGGGTTCAAAATCTTTGGTGGGTTCCCGGGCGTCATCAACGAGATATATACCACACCTGCTGACTTTCACTTTTAGGATTCAAGTCTTCTTATCCACGGCATTCCTGACCAGTCTCGGGGTTACAGTATGTGTTTAGCCTCACCTGAGTTCAACTACTGGCTCTGAGCTCTAACCGGCTGCTTTCTCGCAGGTCCTTATCGTCTACGTAATGAGCCCACCAGTGCGGGTTGCCGTCCAGGGCGCATACCTGGTCGCAATCTTCTTCACTGGCGCAACATTCGGTGCGCTTGCGATCGTCTTCAAGGAACTAACCGAAGGTCTTGGATGCCTTCTCGGGGGGTTTTGTGCTAGCATGTGGCTTCTCTCATTGAAACCCGGAGGTCTCTTGACGGACACGAACGCCAAGAGTGGTTTCATCGGCGCCATGTCAGCTGCCTTCTATGCCATGTCTTTTAGTCAATACACGCGACCGTACGGATTGATGGCTTCTACAGGGATCTCCGGCGGCACTGCTGTAGCCCTGGGGATTGACTGCTTCAGCCGTGCGGGGCTAAAAGAGTTTTGGCTCTACATCTGGAGTGAGTTTGGCTCCTGCCTTTAATCCGCCCAAGCAGCGTGGAAGGAACTGAATCATGCTGAGTGGGTAACGCTGACATGCTTGCATTGCTGATATTAATTTAGACCTCAACAGCGACATCTTTCCCCTGGGCAATCATACCTACCCGGTTACGCGCAACATCCGCGTTGAACTTGCCGTGACTGTCATTGTCGCTCTTCTGGGCGTCGTCTCCCAGCTACGCCTGTGGAAAGTTGTCCGCGACCGCCGACAGAAGGAGAAAGAGAAGTGCGACCAGGAGCGACAGCATCACGAACAAGCGGAAGCCGAGGTCGGCCGTAGACTAGAAGAAGACAACGTGGAGGAGCGGAAGGAGTGGGAGGCCAAGTACGGGGATGGCTCTCCGTCGTCGAGCACACCCGAGCTGCCGGGCGACTCCAAGCGCCCAATTGATGAGATGGATGCCATGGAAAAGGGCGATGCCATTGAGGTGAGGAGTATCTCAGCCTCGTCGTACAGTTCTTATCGGTGCTCGGACTGCCGGGAGCGCGGCGAGGATAGTGACACCGAGTCACATACTTCGGATGCTAGTGCGGGCAGCCGGCACGCAGAACCAGAGGGTGCAGATGGAAGTAAAGGTACTGTTCCCCTGAAACTATTTGACGGCGCAGCCGCGGCTCGGATGGATGAGGACAAGAGCTCGGATGTCACTGCTCTTGTTGGGTCAGACGCCGGGTCAGAGCGCTCGAGACGGATGTCGAGGACTTCGCTGGTAAGAAAGGCTGGGGGTGTCAGTGGTGAGATTCCTCGCTCGGAGTCGAAGGAGGCGTTGGTCTCGGTGGATGGTACTGCTTCGTCTTCGGATGGCATTCCGGATGCTGGCAGCGACCAGACTTCCGAGAGTCACCCCACTCCTGCGACTCCTGCGACTCCTGCGGGAGATGAGGGTAACACCAAAGTGAACCCAGAATCGGAGATCAAGGAGCCAGATGCAGTCAAAGAGTCTGGTGGTCAGGATTCGCAGCAACAGGATGAAAAGCACGCACCCGTGGACTACAAGGATGATTCCGGAGCCAGTGGGGCTGAGCCATCACCTCAGGAAGAAGTCACAAATGGACAACAGGCTCAAGTTTCTGAAAGCAATGATCACCAAAACGAACCGCCAGCTGCCAAAATCGAATCCACTGATCCCAGCTCACAATGTGCTACACCGGAGAAGAATCTAGAAGTGAAGGGCGAAGTGAGTCCTGCATCGGGACGAAATTCAGAGAATACTTCCGAGCAAAAGCAGATCACCGAGACCGGAGGTAAAATGACAAGTGAGAGAGAAGAGACCGGAGGGACTGAAATAGTAGCAACTGCTGAGCCCAAGTCGGAAGGCAAGAAGCGCAAGACAGGGACAAAATCATCTAAGAAGAAGTCGAAAAAGTCGCAGGATTCGCGACTTGGGGCACCTCGTCCTGAGGAAGAGAACAAAGACGAGAATATTACCAACAATGGCAAGCAAAAGACCCAAGAATGCTTTTCCGAACATCCAGATCAACCAACATCCGCGAATAACAATGAAAAGCTCAACGCTACTCGCAAGAAAAGCACGGCATCCACTCAACCACATGAGCACGAATTGAAACAAAAGAAAGAGCCGGAAGAGCCTGTGGAACCTCCGGAGCCCCCCAAACTGGATGAGAAAACTGTGAAACACCTTCCAAAACAGACTTCCAGAGTAGTTCAATCCTATCGCACCAATGAATGGGCAAAACAACTCGCTGATGCAGAGGTGCCCGAGCTCGAACCGATCACGCCTGTCGAGGAGGAGGAACCCGAAGTTGTCCCCAAGGTGGACGAAATTGCAGCACCAGTCAAGGTAGAAGAACTGCTGCAGACACCGCTAAATGCGCAGCCGCCCCCGGCCGTAGAGCGCAAGGTCAAAGACCTAGCTAGGTCCAAGAGTCACCGGGTCCCTGGTGATTCATACCTACAACAGGGCCTTCATCCAAGCCGGTCCAAGAAAAAGGCATCGGTTTCCCCACCAGATCCCTTGCAGCTAGGCAGTCTGACACATGTGCCGCTTGTCAATGCTGTTGGGGCAGAACAACCCAAGGACGAGCCTGAGCCTCCAAAGCCACGATGGAGAGGACCCCCTCCGCTCATGGCCGTGCGAGAGGACATGATGCGCAATCGCTTGTCGTCTTTCTCTTTGAACTTCGACCCCTTTGCGCGGAACAGCCCCGGTTCCTGGCAAGCACCCATCGATTCACTACCGCCGCGATACTCGTTTGCCGGCAACCTCGAAGAGACTGACGACATGCCGCTCTCCCAGCGCCGTACGCTGCTACATCAACAGACAATACAGAGTCCACCGCAGGCACATATCCCCACTCCGATACCCCGGAGACACCCCAGCAACGGCCAATCATCTAGTAACATGCCGGCAGCGATGGCTGCCTGGCGCGAATCAATCATGGAGGATCTCAGAGATAAACGAGTCCCCCTTGCGAAACAGGATGGGCCTGTCATCGCCACTGGAGTTGATCGTAGTCCACCACCCTACGTCCAGTCGCTACAACGGCATAGTTCATTGATCCACCACCGCCGTGCTCACGCCGGTGCATCGGGCCCGCCGCGCAGCGATATGAGTGAGTTGCATCGGGAGGCCATGAGGCGGATGCAGGCCAAAGCCAATCGAAAGGTCGGCGGCTTGTGACAGGTTGCGCTCCCGTTGATCGTATTGCTGTTTTCGAGGTCGTTGCGCACAATTCCCCGCTACGGTCGACGCCTGTTTTTTTGACTCTTGGAGCGCTTTGTTTAGCCTTGTATAACCAGGGATGGGCTTATAGATATGAGTTTGTGCAAACGTATGAACACCAGGGCGTATGAGATTTGCATAGCAAGGACGCGGGTGGCTGATTTGTGGCATGACTTTTTGGGAAGTGAGTAGTGTTATTTATGTACAGTAATGTCGGCGATTCTGTTAGGGTGAAGAAGTAGATTAAACCAGGTTGTGAATGACTTGCATCGACACCACTGTCAAAGTGTGTAGCTCGTCTACACGATTGAATATGAGACTTCCTATCTTCTCCCTTGCCGTATCCAGCCTGTCTCCAGTGACGACGACTCGCAATCAACCCTTACATCAATCTAGTTCATAGCAAGCATCTACTATCAGAGCCATTGTTTGTATGGTCAGGGATGGGAGAGCTGGAGCAGGGGCTTGCAGGTCTCGCTGGACACAAGTGCGAACGGCAGCCCTGTTATCGACAACAACAAATGGACAACAATGATTGCTGCCAGTCAGCTTCGCTCAGAGCTGCTGTGAATGGGTCTAATAGACTCAGCATCCTCGCGCACTCGTTGACATGTGGCCTTGACAACTCGTTCATTGGGATAGCTTGCACTTTGCGGTTGGACTCTGGGGTATTGGGCTCCCTCGAGAAGAGGGTAGAACAAACACCACTAATGGGTAAGGTTACCATATTTGATATTCACAGCCTTTCTGACTTGAAACCCCTGACCATTGATTCGGTGATGGGCTGATGTGATCAATCTTCCGAAACTTAGAATGTTTACTAGGTGTCAATGCTATCGTACGAATCGTAGGTTTTCACACAGCAAATTTCACTTGCCGACAGCAACTTGAAGGACATAAGATAGCCGATGATGGTCATGTCTGCACACGGTGGAGATAGGAGTCATCTGCTCATGAGAGAGTCGTAGGGTGTACGTGCACTGCGCAGTCCCGTGAAGTAATCGAGTCTTGGTTGGCTCTCCCTCGGCGCAGTAGTTTTCACGAGATAATCTAATTTGCCTTGACAGTCTCCTGCTGTTGCTGCTGCGGTGCATGAGAACTTGACTTGGGAGATTGTACATTGAAACTCCAGCAGGTAGTCGGAGCAGCAGAGTTACTTATGAACCAGTGCCACGCCACGCCTTGCTTGCTGTTGCGCACACCGCGCGATAACAGCGTTCGAGTGAATATATGTAGGAAGGAACCGTCCTGAAGCTACACCTGCTGCAGCGCTCGTCAGTCCTCGCCCCGTATCAAAGAGTAAAAATTAACACACACGCCATGTATCACATCCAGCGAAGAACATGCACCCTCACTCGCAGACCCAACCCAACGCATTACCCCTGGAAAACAAACCCTAAGTGCGACCGAACCTCCACTCCCAATAGCTGGCAAGTCAGGACACAACCGAGTATTGGGACTACTACCTCCTCACGCGGCCCATTTACCCTGATTCCTTTTACAATCAAATCTATAACGACCCCGCTGCCCTTAACTCATCACCATAGTAACGGACGACAACAACAGCAGCAGCTCGAAGGCTGAAACCACCTAGCCACAGCGGAGCAGTGGCAGGCTGTAGAAAAACATTTATGCCATGCCGGGTGGACGCAGCTGTGTTGCTTTTTTACGAATGCGGCGTGTGATTTTATAGTGTTTGCCAACAGCTAAACGATCATGGCACGGCATATCATTCGTCTATAATTAAAGGTATCAGATGCTCTCGTAACTGGCAACGCTACACCATGCTGTCCGTCTTTCCAAAGGTCAACTCCCCCCCTGCATCCGTCGAAACCGCTCTTCAGCCGCCCTCGCGCGACGCTCTCTCTCCAGTCGCATCCGCATCTCCGGCGTCATCCCGCGCATCTCCTCCTCCCTCTTCTCCTGCGCGGTCTTCTCAACAGCCCCCAGGGTCCTACCGACCGGCTTCCGGGACGCCTGTTCAGCTGCCCGGGCGGCCTCCTCTTTCTGCAGACGGGCCATCGCCGCCTTGCGTCGATTGGCTTCCTCCTCCTCTGCGCTCTTCCGCTCCTGCTCCGCTCGTCGGGTCACATCGTCCTTGGAGATGGGTGAGGGGACTTTTGCGGCGGCCCAGTCCCACTTGGACTCTCCCAACTCATGGCGAGCGATACGAAAAGCGTCCCGCGTGGCACGGTCACCGGCAAGCTCGAAAGCCGTTCTCCCTTCGGAAGTCACTGTCGTCGGGTCTGCATCAGCCTTGGTCAAAAGAGCGAGGACCATGGCCGATGCGTTGAGGTTCGCCGCCAGGTGAAGTGCAGTGGGACAGCGGAAGTTCTGCTGGGAATCCGAGGGTTGAAACCGGAAGGATGAAGGAATGGAATTCTTGGATAGGTATGTCATCAATGCGGGAATCTTAGAGCGCCGGATCAGGGCTTGGATCTGCGTGGTATGAAGTAGAGCTTCCTCTTCCTCTTTCGAGATCTTTGGCTTCTGCGGCTGCGGTCGCGGTGTCGACGGCTTGGAATCCTCTTCGCGTTCCTTGGCGGCCGCGGCTGCAAGGGCAGCCTCGTCAACCTGGCTCACTTTAACTCGAGTGAGCTCCTTGAAGCACCGCATGAGTTCGGCCTGGGTGGCCCGACGCGTGCTGAACGGGAACCCTCTCAGCCGCGGGTCATTTTGCCTCAACATTTGTCCCTCGTATTTCTCGAACAGGATCCTCCGGTTCGTGCTACCGGTAGCCCGTACAAACAGCAACTCTGCCTCATCAATCAGCTGTTTCCAATCAGACAGCAGCTCTCGGATCTCCTTCTCAAGCGCCGCTTCGTTGTATCGTCGCAGGCTGGAACCCGCCGAATGGGCGGCGCCCTTGGCAGCGTCGTTCGCCGACTGCGAGCCACCTTGCTTTCTTCGCGTAGTATATCGATGGAATGTCTTGTGCGCAATCACCCGGGCCTGTCTGTCTTCAATGCCTCCTTGTCGTCGATGAATCTCGGGGGCCAACGACACGATCATTGCGGCAAAATGGCCGCCACCAATCATGCACATGAAGATATGAGGACTGGGGGCGGGCGGTTTCGCTTGCTCGTCGGCGCCATTTCGGGGCGCATTGATAGGCACAAGTTGCTTTTTCTGGAGAGAAGCGACGAGATGCTGCGGCTCATCCTGCTCAGCCTCAGAGAACAAACTCCGGTAGACACCGAGCGAAACGTTGGACGGTAGTGCAGAGCTCGAAAACCAAAACAGCGGAGGCCGGCCGCCGGACCTCTTGTTCGAGGGCGACTCGTCTTCCTCCTGCGTTTCCTGGGAAATCTTGGCCTGTCTTTTCAGAAGCGCCGTAAGCTGGGTCTCCTCTTCCTCGTTCTCTCCTTCGGATGACTCCGACCCCGATATAGACTCGTCGAGCTCGCCAACCGCCTTGGAGAACTGCACCTCATCTAACGTCGGACCGCCCCGGAGTTGCACTTTCAGATTGTATTTGTGATGGTCCGACCGCACATGGTCGCGCTGTCCCTGCACATCGCCGTAGGTGACTTTGCAGAGAGAACAGCTATTTGACGTGGCTACTGCATGTTCCAGCACTACTTCGTCCGGCTCGGTGGAAGTCTCATCGCTGCCGTCTCTGAGTGCGAGTGGTTGATCGCCGCTTTTGGTGGTCAAGGTTGAAAGAATCTCCTGCGGCAGATCATAAACTTCAGGTGCGTCAGCAAGCGGGCGCGTCGCGCAAACGAAAAGTACGGTTTGGGGGTAGTAGACAAAGAGGGGTTTAGACGTACCGTACAGAGGCCTTCTGAGAAGGTCTTCCACAGAGGTTTCTGCAACCATCATCAAACCACTTGAGATCTCGAGTCGCGGCAAATGGTTCTTCAAAAGTGAATCTCAAGGAATGACGGAATGACGCCGGCGGAATGAACCCCGCTGTCTGGCACCTCACCGCCTTCGCCACGAGGCGCAGCTGCAGTTTGCATCATTTGTTCCCCGCGTGAGAAGGTAGACCGACTCCGCCAGAGACTTTCGGCGTTGGTCTTGACGACGCTGCACATGGAATACTTTGATGTTTGTGAGTGCTGATGTATTTTCTTCCCCAGATTCTAGCATAAAATCTTATTGTTTGAATGCTTCTTTCAGTCAAGAAGGACCGAAGACTGCTTATGCAGCTGTGTCACTAGTCTCACAGTCGTGTATGAGATAGTCACTCCATTCGCAATGCTCTCGGAAACGCGTACTCCGGAGATAAGGCCTAAGATCGTCGGGCCCGAACACCAATAAATGATGTAATCCGTCCTTGGCTGCCGAACTCCGTGGTTGATGTGCACTGCAGCCATTCAGCCTGCTGGAATGAACCTGAGACAGCTTCACCGTCTCGACTAGCCTCAATCGGGGCTTGTCAGGCACAGAGCTGTACTATTATAGGAATTGATTCTTATTATAAACCTGGTGAATGCTGCGCGGTGAGGCTCGCAATTCGAATCTACGATGACATGCTCCGGAACCTCGGCATTCTGATTGGGCCTTGCTGGGGATTTGCAGTGGATGGAACCCGCTCGACCCGCCCGGAGATAAACACCGAAGCTTTGCTCGGAGGAAATTACCTAAAATTACCACTTCTCTCAATAGCCTGCCCTGAGGTGTGGCACGCAGCAGAGGAAGTCCAGTGAGGATCACTGAGCTGACCGCTGGCAGTGCATATCCCCAGAAGCTCGCTGTATGCTCATGCTTGGAAGGTGAAATCTCAACTGTGCTAGGATTTCGAATCTTGATTAGGCGAGTCTCGAGTGCTTCTGGCCCATCCTGGACAGATTGGTTTGGCCCGATCAGTGCGGTTTGATTGGAGTAATTGCACCCTAGATTTTTCTTATCCACGACGTACTCCGTACTCTTGCCTACCTAGTTTGATAGGGAACACGGCCAAGGTGGACCGACAGTACACAGCATGGGATGTAGTACACTACCAAGACTGCTGCTGGAATATAGCCAGCATGTGGAAGTCAAGATCTGAATCTTCACAGTAGAGTAGTTTAAAGTGCCAAAGTGAGCCGGCTTGCTGCCCCGATTGATTTCGAAAGGACCCCAGTCGAGATGCCAAGACCGACAGCCCCGAGCAGTTCAGATTATGTCATATCGACTTCGTCCATCAACTGATTCTTCCCAAGATCAAGGCGCAGAATCCAACGCAACCCTGACCGACTGTCGTGGCTCTCTTCTCTCTCAGAATCATCCAAAATAGTGATTCACAGCTCTAACTGACTACCCTATCACACAACTAAACTCGCCGGGCGTACAGTACTTGCAGCTCTCGGTAAAAGGCCGGTCTCCGGTAACGCCTCCGTATTGCGCAGAAGCTTGGACCGTGGCATTTAGTAAGCAGCGTGCATCTCACTAAAGTCAGTCAGCAAATCAGCCTTTCCTTTTCCCTCGTTATCGTCCCTCTCGAACTTTCGTTCTCATCTTCCAGCTATCTCTTTCCCTCCAGGCCCTTTTCATCGGCATCTCGGGGGCTCCCTTTTTCGTTGTCCTCTTTTCCCTTGCAGGTCCGAAAGGACGAGCGATCCAAGGCTGGGATTACGGTAGTCTTCAGCCGGGGAAAATGTTGGAAGGCGGTGGTTCCCAGTCCATCCTCGGGGATTCCAGCCGGGGATCCCTGCTGCCCTCCACCCCGAACGCAGCATTCCTCTCCCCCAAACTGCAGCCATTCTGCCACGATCCGGAAGGCTGGGGACCTCTCAGTCAGTTCAGGTTCGACCTGACCCCGTGTTTCCTCGACTTTGGAGTCTCCTTGGTTGCAGTCTGGGGCATTATCGCAGGTGCAGGTGCCCTTTGGCTCCTGCTCAAGAAGAGAGTGCCTCAGCCAGTCTCGAAAAACTGGCACTTCTATGCGAAATTGGTACGAATTCACCCGCCAATCCGTCTGAATGATATGTTGCGATCTGACCGTCCTTTTCCTCCTTAGGTTGTTCTGTCCGCCTTGATCTTCACCACTGCTCTCCAGGCCGCCATACAAATCGAATCCTACCCGAATACCTGGTTTGACGACTATCGCTTCTGGAGCTCGGTCCTCGTTCTTATCTCTCTCGGAGTCATCTTCGCAGTGCAATATCATGAACACTGGCGCAGCAGACAGCCCAACGGCGTCGTACTTTTCTACTGGCTTTTCTTCTGCATCGGTTATGGAATCAAACTCCGGTCGCTCATTTCACGTAAACTGTACGAGGATCGCCTGCCATACTTCGTTTGCTTCAATGTGAGCTTGGGGCTGGCTCTGTTGGAGTTTGCACTCGAGTATCTGGTTCCGAAGAAGCAAAGTGATTACGATGCGCTCGGAGACGAGGATGAGTGTCCCTACGAGTACGCGGATATCTTCTCGGTTCTCACTTTCAGTTGGATGACCCCGATGATGAAGTTTGGTTACAACAACTTTCTGACCCAGGATGATCTGTGGAATCTCCGTCGTCGGGACACTACCGGTGTAACCGGGGGCGCTCTCCACGAGGAATGGGAGGAAGAATTGCAGAAAAGCAAGCCTTCACTTTCACTGGCTCTGATTAGAGCGTTTGGTGGGCCCTTCATCCGTGGTGCGATCATCAAGTGCGGCAGCGATGCCTTGGCCTTCGTTCAGCCGCAACTGCTCCGTCTTCTGATCAAGTTCATCAACTCGTATGGAACTCCGGAGCCTGAGCCGGTCATTAGAGGTGTAGCCATTGCGCTTGCCATGTTCCTGGTGTCAATTTCGCAGACTCTGTGCTTGCACCAATATTTCCAAAGGGCCTTCGACACTGGCATGCGCGTCAAGTCTGGTCTAACTGCCATGATCTATGCCAAGTCTCTGAAACTGTCAAGCGAAGGTCGCACAAGCAAGACCACAGGTGACATTGTCAATCACATGGCTGTCGATCAGCAACGTTTGTCTGATTTGACCCAGTTTGGTGTGCAGCTTTGGTCGGCGCCCTTTCAGATCACTCTCTGCATGTTGTCTCTCTATCAGCTTGTGGGGGTGAGCATGTTTGCAGGTATCGGTGTCATGATTCTCATGATCCCTCTTAACGGCATCATTGCGCGCATGATGAAGAAGCTCCAGCTCATTCAGATGAAGAATAAGGATTCGCGATCCCGACTTATGACCGAGATCCTGAATAACATCAAGAGCATCAAGCTCTATGCTTGGAACACAGCATTCATGAACAAGCTTAGCCACATCCGTAATGACCTGGAGCTGAACACACTCCGCAAGATCGGAGCGACCCAGTCGATCGCCAATTTCACATGGCAATCCACTCCTTTCCTCGTCTCGTGCTCCTGTTTCTCTGTTTATGCCTTGACATCGAACAAGCCTTTGACCACCGACATTGTCTTCCCAGCACTCACCCTGTTCAACATGCTTACGTTTCCTCTGTCGATTCTGCCAATGGTGATTACCGCGGTTATTGAGGCTTCCGTGGCCGTCAAGCGTCTCACAGACTACTTCACCGCTGAGGAATTGCAGACCGATGCTGTCACTCGCGAGGAAACCGTGGCCCACGTGGGAGATGAGTCTGTTCGGATCCAGGATGCCTCTTTCACCTGGAACAGATACGAAGGCACTCATGTGATTGAGAACATCAACTTTAGTGCTCGCAAGGGCGAACTCAGCTGTATCGTCGGTCGCGTCGGTGCCGGAAAATCTTCTTTGCTTCAATCGCTCCTGGGCGACTTGTGGAGAACCGAAGGAGAGGTGATTGTCCGTGGCCGCGTCGCTTATGTCGCGCAACAGGCCTGGGTTATGAACGCTAGCGTCCGCGAGAATATTGTCTTTGGACATCGGTGGGATCCTCAGTTCTACGAGCTTACCGTGGCAGCGTGTGCCTTAACCGACGACTTCAAGAACCTGCCCGACGGTGACCAGACCGAGGTCGGAGAAAGAGGCATCTCCCTCTCTGGTGGTCAGAAAGCCCGCTTGACCCTTGCCCGAGCTGTCTATGCTCGCGCCGATATCTACCTGCTCGATGATGTTTTGTCTGCGGTCGACCAGCATGTGGGACGCCATCTGATCAACCAGGTTCTGGGTCGCAATGGTATTCTTGCCAGCAAGACAAGGATTCTCGCCACAAATGCTATCCCTGTTCTGAAGGAAGCGGACTTCATCGGCTTGCTACGTAACAAGACTTTGGTTGAGAAGGGAACCTACGAGCAGCTTCTGGCTATGAAGGGCGAAGTTGCTAACTTGGTTCGCACCACAATGAATGACTCGGATGACGAGGGTTCTGGCAGCGAGAGCCGTGATCCCGCTAGCGAGAGCTCCGAGTCTACTACTGTTATCGAAACTGGTGACTCGGATATTTCTGATCCAGAGGAAGCTGAGCGCGAAATTGGCTCTCTTGCACCTATCAGAGCTAGTGTTGATCGGAGGCAGAGCACAGTCACTCTCCGCCGTGCTAGTACTGCTACCTGGAAGGGCCCCAGACGCAAGCTTGGAGATGAAGAGAATGTCCTCAAAAGCAAGCAGACCCAGGAAACATCGCAGCAGGGCAAAGTCAAATGGAGTGTTTATGGTGAATACGCCAAGAACAGTAATATCATTGCTGTTGGCTTTTATCTTTTGGCCCTCTTGGGAGGTCAAACCGCCCAGGTTGCTGGAAGTTACTGGCTTAAGCATTGGTCTGAGCTCAGTGAAAAGCAGCCGAACCTTTCCAACGGCAAGTACATCGGCATCTATCTGGCCTTTGGTTTGGGCTCTTCTCTTCTGGTCATTCTCCAAAATCTCATTCTGTGGATCTTCTGCTCTATCGAGGTATGTTTATGTTGCAATACCCCCAGAAATCTGCAGCCACTAACTAGATCCAGGCCTCGCGTAAGCTCCACGAGCGCATGGCATTTGCCATCTTCCGCTCCCCCATGAGCTTCTTCGAAACCACCCCGTCCGGACGTATTCTCAATCGATTCTCGAGGTGAGTTAGTCAAGATGCTTGTTAAGTCTGCGTCTATCGACATGAAACTGACAAGATTTATCACACAAAGTGACGTGTATCGTATCGATGAGGTACTGGCGCGGACGTTCAACATGGTGAGTCTCTCAAAGCGCCAATTTCTAGGAAAGTCCACCTAACGGAAGCTACAGCTGTTTGGCAACTCGGCCAAAGCATTGTTCACCATGGTGGTCATTGCCTCCTCTACCCCCGCGTTCCTCTTGATTGTCTTCCCTCTGGGCTGGGTCTACTTCAGCTATCAGAAATACTACTTGCGCACCTCTCGCGAACTCAAGCGCTTGGACAGCGTGACTCGAAGCCCAATCTTCGCACACTTCCAGGAGTCTTTGGGCGGAATTTCGACCATTCGCGCATACAAGCAAGAGGACAGGTTCACACTGGAAAACGAGTGGCGTATGGATGCAAACATCCGTGCCTACTTCCCTTCTATTAGTGCGAATAGATGGTTAGCTGTCCGCCTAGAATTCATTGGCTCAGTGATCATCTTGACAGCTGCTACACTTTCCATTGTGTCTGTGTCTACTGGCGGCAAACTATCTGCCGGAATGGTCGGTTTGGCGATGTCTTACGCTCTCCAGATCACCCAGTCGTTGAACTGGATCGTACGGCAGACGGTCGAGGTCGAGACTAATATTGTCTCGGTTGAGCGTGTCCTGGAATACGCAAACCTGCCCAGCGAAGCGCCTGAGGTGATTTTCAAGCATCGGCCCGCTATTGGCTGGCCAGCACAAGGTGCGGTGACGTTCAACAACTACAGCACCCGTTACCGTCCCGGACTTGATCTCGTGCTTAAGGATATTACACTCGACATCAAGCCTCACGAGAAGATTGGAGTTGTTGGTCGCACGGGTGCAGGCAAGAGCTCGCTAACGCTTGCACTTTTCCGCATCATCGAACCTGATAGCGGCCACATCAGGTAAGGACTGCTGTCCAAGCTTTTGTGATCCCGCTAATGTTGTTCTAGCATTGATGGATTGAATGTGTCGACGATTGGCCTGTTTGACCTGCGGAGCCGTCTCGCTATCATTCCCCAGGATCCAGCCATGTTTGAGGGAACCGTCCGGGACAATTTGGATCCAAGACATGTGCATGACGACACTGAACTCTGGAGTGTACTTGGTAAGTTAGACTGAGCTACACTACATACGAGGACGATCGCTGACTAGTTCGTGTTAGAACACGCCCGCTTGAAGGATCATGTTGCGCAGATGGAGGGACAGCTGGATGCCCAAGTCCAGGAAGGAGGCAAGTCTTCTTCCTTCTGCCTTGCGTCACTTTGCCAACATTACATGTGGTTGGAGAGCCGAAACTAACTTAGTTGCTGTAGGATCCAACCTTAGTCAAGGCCAGCGCCAGCTAGTGTCACTTGCCCGAGCACTGTTGACACCCAGTAATATTTTGGTGCTTGACGAGGCAACTGTGAGTTTTCCCTATTGGTCTCCTTTTTTTTCAAATCTTTCATTCCAGTTTTGGAAGCTTACGGTTGTCATCAATAGGCGGCGGTGGATGTGGAAACGGATGCATTGCTGCAACGTACACTGCGCAGCAGTATTTTCCAGGACCGAACGATCATCACGATCGCGCACCGGATCAATACGATCATCGATTCCGATCGAATTGTGGTGCTGGACAAGGGTCGGGTAGTCGAATTCGACACGCCTGCCGCGTTGATCAAGCAGGAGGGCCGCTTCTACGATCTGGTCAAGGAGGCTGGTCTGCTTGACAGCAGCGACGGAGTCGCCGCGCTGCAAAAGTCCTAGGCGCTTTTCCTGCTACAGGTCGCATTGGTTGGTAGACAAAATTGATCACGCTCTACCGATTTTCTCGCAATTCCGACATGGCAGCAAATTGAGTCGCCGCTTGGACTTGTGTGTAGCGTAATAGCCGCGACTGACAATGAAACCGAGCTGCGCCTGTACTACTTGGAAAAGACAAGGCCTTTGCTTCTGCCGCATGAAGCTTCATGGTCAGTCTGTGTACATCATTGGAAGCAGACGGCGGGACAAACCGACTGGACCGATTCACTGCCATGATTTTACGATCGTGGATCATGTGGACTGGGGTTGGATGGGACCTGAGGCGATGCGATACATTCCTCCAAGTCCGAAGGATTGCTTGCTGAGCGTCTTTCTCTCTTGTGGCGTTTAGATCGGAATGCAAAAGAAATGGGGAACCGAAACAGCAGCCGCGCAGCAGCATGGGCGGCAAGATCTTTGTGGCTTTGTGGGAGAGGTTTCAAAAAGCGAAGAAAAGTGATCGATTTTGTTTATCAATGCGTTCTTGGGATTGAGCCCCTTTTTCCTGTCAGAATTATATGTGCTATCTCACTGTCTATATTGAATAATTATATACAAAGATTTACTAGTTGAACATGATTGTTAAGACAGTACAGATCCCTCTTTCCTTCAACTTACAGGCAGACTCCAATCTGTAGAACGAGTCATATGCCTACCCCTCCTGATCTCGAGAAACCCGCCCTATCCTGCGATCGTTTCTTTGCTTTTTCCCTGTGTATCCAGCTTTGCGGGAGGATGATTATTGTTTTCCCCTCTAGGAATTCCATCAAAGTTTCCAGCGCAAAGACCGGGAAACCCGCCATCCCCCAGCGAAGCCCATGATAGTAGCGGTGTAGCCACCACCACCACCACCACCTGAGCCCCCCGCCCACCCCCCTCCCTCCAGCAAGCAGTTTGGCAGCTTGCATATGCATGATTGCATTGCCACGAACAACTGTCAATCACGAATCTGGGAAATATGATTCATGGGAGATATGTGAACGAAGGAACTTGGCGGACGTTTTCGACGTTATTGTGTCATCGCGATGGAGGGGGCGATAGTGTCATAGGCTCATAGTTACCTTACTTTATTTTAGGGATTGCACAGTACATACGTTATACCCGGCGGATTGCTTTTTGCAGGGTTATCTGCATCCCTTCTTGCTGCTGTGAAAAAAAAAATCCCTTTTTCTTCCATTCTTGTGGAATTTCAACTAAGTTGGCAAGTTTTATCTAGTAGTTTTGTTCTGCGAGTCATTCATGACCGTTGTATTGTACTAAGGGGAGTGGCGGTATAGGTCCTGCGCAGATTTATGCCATTGTTGTTCACAATAACTCCTTTGGTAAGACAAGGATTTGAACCAGATTGCTGGAATTGTGTAAGTAATACCATCATTCTATAAGTTCGGAAATCTATAGCCATGGTTTTCTTTGCACATAGGATTTGACATTTTGCGATATCGCTATCGATCCTTCGAGCAGTGATGTCGTGTAGGCTGGAGATATTGTCAAATCTATACCTTCTTTTCCTCGTGCGCACAAGACTGCTTCCTCGAACGAGGAATGCTGAAAACATATTCATATCAAAGTGGATATATAGATAGTCATCAACCCGATCATCATTATCAGATTCAGAACGAGCAAAGAACCCCCCCTAATGAATCCAGACCCCGTAGACCTGACCAGGAACCTCGTACGATGAGAGCAAGGACTGCTGCTGCTGCTGCTAACTTTATTCCGGGATGAGGATCTAGATCCCTCCTCCACATTGACTTTTAGAACTCTTATCCCAGAAACCGAACGTTAGGGTAGACACTCGCCATACAACCGGCTCAAACCCTTTGCCTTTGGTCGGCGAGCGGAGAAGCGGTCTGGAAGCTGGTGGTGTAGTCTAGTCTCTGAAGCTCGCTTGATTCTTTGGTAGATGGTATCATTGCTCTTCCTCATGAAGGGAGTGAGAAGGGGACGGTGAGACGGTGAGAGGGGTTGTGTGTCTGGAACTGCTTGTCATATTGATTCTGTATTCGATTCTCGGGGACGTAACTTTGAGACTTGATCTTATAGTCTGGCTCACGATTTTGAATAAGACCTGGATGGGAGGGCTCGTCGTTTAGAATTTCGAGCGGTGAGTCCCATAGTGTTATCATGATGAGTATGTACACTGGCAGTATGTGATGTGGTGGAAATGGGTGGCAATGTGAAATATATTTTGGTTAGCATGTTGGGCAGTGCATATACTCATAATCATATAGAGTGTACAATGCTCAAAAAGTGTACTCACTACATTATTCTACACCTTGTACAGAGTGCCATTCCTATATTGATGTATTCACGATCTCTAAGTGCTGTTCTGGTAACACCTTCCGCACTATGAAAGATTATCTCATCCCAGTTCAAAGACACCCTTCATACTCTACTCAAACAAGTACATTTCCCCGGAAAGATACTGTGTCACCATGTCTTCGTGTTCTTGTCGCGAGTAAATCCTTTCTATGACTGTCGGGTTGGTGTGTAGGCCAGATACTATTTCGAATGAAAACTGGCAAACTCTTCGCATTGGCTATACATCAGTATACACTTCCACCGCGAGTATCAGTATCGGGGCTGTGTTGGCCTTGGCTCCCCCTAATCTTCCCTAACTCAAAAAGCCTGTCGTTACTGTAACTACTATACCTGCTTATTAAAGAAGTAAAAGGAGCAAATGAAATCCATAAAACTACGGAGTATAGCCTACCTAGTGTTATGGCAAAATTCCTCGCCCAAACACGCCCAATATCCAGGGCTTCAACTATAGCACGTACTTTGTTTGGTCACCCGTTATAGCTAACTACCCTGTGTTAACTACTACTAGCGATACCCCCTAGGCAGACAAGGATAATCCCAACGGGCGATAACGCTCGCAGAGATGAGACAAGCGGTGAATGCCTAAGAGTATGCCTAAGGGGGGACAATAATCAACTGCTAGTTAACTAGTTTAATATCTAGGATTACTTGAGTAAGCTAAGTAGCAGACACGGCTGCTACTGCTGCCCTGTGCAATCTGATTCACTGCACCGGAAAATGAACGGCTGACTTATTACTGCCGAGTATTATTATGACAGAAGTACTCCGTATAGCTTAGCCGGAGTATATTAACTTATTGCACTAAGTCCTCTAGCACGCACATCGCTCCGATCCAGCGATACAATCGCCCGGAGGAGTTCGGTGGTCGCATCCTGCAATCACCAAGGACAGCATTGTCCATTACTCATAGTCTATTATAGTCTATTCCGTACAGTTTCGTGTATAGTTAACCAGCTATGGCTGCCCTCGGCACGGGGTGGGACTTCCGAGGGTCAAGAGAGGGGCCGATGTGCTCCCTGCCCGCAAATTGATCTTCAATGTGAATTCAGAGATTTCGCTAGGTAGGGAATTGATCGACCATCGACAAACTGACTACGTACTCACATCCTACTCAGTAACTAACTACGTATTTATGATTGTGCTGTGTAGTGGTGGTAAGTCGACTCTGTCGTCAGCGGCAGTAACCAGCCAGTTTCGGCCGAGGGCAGCGAATCTACCCCGCCAACAGCACAGGAAACAAAAACTTGGAAGAGTGAGTCCCTTTTTGCCCCCCCATTTGACCCTGTTCACTTGCTAACTACTACTGTAGAGGATTACTGCGCGGCGTGTGTCAGGTCTCAGAGGCGAATATTCTGATACACACAACTGCATCATCAAATTCAGTCGGAGGCTGCGCCCCTTCCACGGTCCCAAAGTCTCTTGCCTTCGTGACAAAGTCTATTCCACAGCGGGTATCTCCGCTGAATGCGCGACAACAGCCATGAGCATGAGCATGAGCATGAGCATGAGCAGCCGAAAGGGGCACACGAAGATTGAGAAAAACCTCCGAGTCCAAAAAAGGAGGAAGACAGAAAAAACTTTGACTCCTTGCATTACGCAGAATCACCATCGATCGCCTCGTTCAATAGAGGTGCGGTGATCTGGAGACGGTCATATCTCAGTCGAGTATAGTTCTCGTTCGCGGGGAAAGAGGAAAGCAACTTCCGACGGAGACCCAGCAGACAACCAGACACCAACACACGGGGCGGCGTTGAGGATCGACCCCCTTTCGCTGCTAATATCGTCTTGCCCTTTTGGTTCTTGGTTCTGTCTGATTCTGTCCTGCCCGCCCTCTCTCGACGACGAATTATCCACCGATGACCGATTGATCGATTGCCACCATCGCGGCGGATTAGCCTTCAGATCGGATGGAGGAAGGTGGATTCGCGCCGGTTCAACTCGCGCGGATAGTCAAATCAGGATTCCCGCCCCTAGGCAAGCGAAGACCGATTCGAAAAGTCAGATAGAAGGTATCAACAAGACAGATCTGAGATGCTGTGCAGGGACAAGCTGGGCTTGACCTGGTAATCGGGTCCTTGGGTTGGCCCCTAAGGGCAGGATTCCTCACGGCTTGATCCACTTGGATGACCGTTTCAAGCGGCGTGCATGGGTCGGGTTGGGTCCATCGTGGGACCGGACGAAGAAACAGAAAAGAGGGGGAGAAGGTTGATAGATACTGATCTATCAACTGGATCAACTGTCCGTCATCAGGTGTACACGACACACTTGTTGGTTCTTGGTTTGGTTTGGCGGCGGGGGTGATGATTCGTATTCATTCCCTTTCGAGTTTGGGTTGAGGGTGGTTGGTGCTTCACGCGGAGGACAACTCCGTAATGGAGACCGCCATCGTCTGTTCGCTGTTCTAGTTCTCCGTACTAGGTCTAAATTGACCGACTGATAAGATAGGTGTGGTAGTACTATGGCATCAAGGACAGCTTCATGTAAGAGTGTCTGATTTCCCAACGATAGCGAAGATCGTTCATCCCGACAGCTGATTTGTGTTTAGGGGAGGGGAAAGGTTCCTGATACTAGAGTAGGCAGGGTGCCAATAATAGCCCGTCAGGCGGGGGCGAAAATCCTCAAGGTCCAACGCTCAGGCCGTT